GCTGAAGGTGCCATTGGGGTGGCTCTCGGAGATGTTGGTGTGGGTTTTCAGAGTTTCGCCATTCTGGCGGGTCCAGGAGATGGTCACACTGTCGTAGGTGGCCAGGTCTGTGACCAGGCAGGTCAACTTGGTGGACTTGGTGAGGAAGATGCTGGCAAAGGATGGGGGGATGGCGAAGACCCGGATGGCTATGTCTGGATCTGAAGTCAAGAGAAGGGAGTCAGAGGTGGGGCAGGTGTGGATGCGGGCGGAGGCATGGTTCCCACCCAAAGAGTAGCAACAGCCTCTGCCGAGCCCCTGCCCTTGGCCGCTCTGGGAAGCCGAGGCTCAGGGAGCAGATGGCTGCGTCTGGGTGGTGAATGCCAGACCCAGGTGGACCCCTGTGTGTCGGTGGGTGCCGCCCTCGGGGACAGGTCACTCACTGGGGCCACACACGGAGGACACGTTCTTCTGGAAGGTCAGGCCCCTGTGATCCACGCGGCAGGTGAACACGCTCTGGCTGAGCCAGTCTCTCTCGCTGATGGTCAGTGTGCTGGTCACTTTGAAGGTCGTGGGCCCAGACTCTTTGGCTTCAGCCTCCACCTGGCCCGTGGTGATGCCAGACCCCACCTGCTTCCCCTCGCGCAGCCAGGACACCTCAATCTGCCGGGGGCTGAAACCTGTGGCCTGGCAGATGAGCTTGGACTCGCGGGGGTTGCCGACGAAGCCGTCTCGGGGTGGGAGGAAGACACTCACGTTGGGAGGCTGCTCGACAACCACTGCAGTGAGGGACACGTGTCAGCCCGGTGCCCGCCACTCCCGCCCCCTTTGGCTCCCTCTCTGCCCCGGTGGGTGGGCCCCGCCCTCACCTGGAAGAGGCACGTTCTGTTCTTTGTTGCCATTGGGGTGCTGGACTTTGCATACCACGTGTTCGTCTGTGCCCTGCATGACGTCCTTGGAAGCCAGCAGCACCTGCGAGGTGGCCGCGTACTTGCCCCCTCTCAGGACTGATGGGAAGCCCCAGACATCTTTGCTGATGTCAGAGTTGTTCTTGAATTTCCAGGAGAAAGTGATGGAGTCGGGAAGGAAGTCCTGTGCGAGGCAGCCAACGGCCACTTTGTTCGTATCCAACGGGGCATTCTCACAGGAGACGAGGGGGAAAAGGGTTGGGGCGGATGCACTCCCTGAGGACCCGCAGGACAAAAGAGAAAGGGAGGGGTGAGGAGCTGCCTCCTTGTGCCCTGCCTGTCGGTGCTGAGTGGCGTTCTGAGTGGCCCTCTCTACTTGTGTCCCACTGTGGCTGCCCCACCAAAGCCAAGGCCACCTGCAGGCCTCCAAAGCCCAGATTATCATGGCTAACAGGGGTGGTGGGGCCGTGGCGAGGCCTCGGGTCTTTGTCCAAGGCTGTCGGGGCTGCAGGCCTCAGCCCGTCCTGCTGCCGGGCCCAGCGCTGAACACCTGGGCAGACCTGCCACCATTCAGTTGGCTGCCCTGCTGCACTCTGAGGCCTGCCTGCCCCTGGCTCCCTGCTCAGAATGGCTGAGGACTCAGGTTTGGGTGGACCAGGCCTGCTTTCCCCTGAGGCAGCAGCAGGTAGGTGCTGCACACACTCAGCTCCCAGCACATGCAGCTGGAGGGCCCAGGTTGCATACCTGAATGGGAAACCTGGAGCCAGACACCCTGCAGGCAGCCAATAGAGAGCTTGGTTCCTCCAACCCAGCTTATGCTGCCCCCATCTCAGCCACACTCCAGCTACCCTGAAGTCTCCCCAGGCAGACAACCCAGGCCTGGGAGTGAGTATAGGGATGGTGGATGTGATGGGGAACGCAGTGTAGACTCAGCTGAGGCTATCCATCTGTGTCCGACAAGATCATGAAGACTGGCCCAGTGCCATGTCTTCCAGTTCATCCCAGCCCAGGCTAGCTCAATCCAGCTCAGCAAAGCCAAGCTCAGCTCAACCCAACTCAGATGAGCTCAGACCAGCTCAGCCCAGCCTAGCTGAGCTCAGACCACCTAAGACCATCTCAGCTCAGCCCAGCTAAGCCCAGTATAGCCCAGCCCAGTTAAGCACAGTTCAACACAGTCCAGCTCAGCACAGTTCAACCCAGCTCAGCCCAGCTCAGCCCAGCCCAGCTCGCTCAACCCAGCTCGGCTCAGCCCAGCTCAGCGCAGCGTAGCTTAGCCCAGCCCAGCCCAGCTCAACCTAGCCTGGCTCAGCGTGGCCTAGCCCAACCCGGCTCGGCTCAACCCAACTGAGGTCAGCCCAGATCAACCTGGCTCAACTCAGCCCAGCCCAGCTCCGCTCAACCCAGCCCAGCTCAGTCCAGCCCAGCCCGGACCAGCTCAGCTCAGCCCAGCTCAGTTCAGCTCAGCTCAGCCCAGCCTAACTTGGCTCAACCCAGCTCAACTCAGCCCAGCCTGGACCAGCTCAGCTCAGCCCAGCTCAGTTTAGCTCAGCTCAGCTCAGCTCAGCTCAGCTCATCGCAGCCCAGCCCAGCCCAGCCCGGTTCAGCTCAACCCAGCTCGGCTCAGCCCAGGTCAGCCTGGTTCAACTCAGCCCAGTCCAGCCCAGCTCAACCCAGTTCTGTTCAACCCAGCCCAGTTCAGCCCAGTTCATCCCAGCTCAGCCTAGTTTGGCTCAACCCAGCTCGGTTCAGCCCAGCCTGGACCAATTCAGCTCAGCCCAGCTCAGCCCAGCCCAGCTCAGCCCAGCCCAGCCCAGCCCAGCACAGCTCAGTCCAGTTCAGCCCAGCACAGCCCAGTTTAGCTCAGCTCAGCTCAGCTCAGCCCAGGTCAGCCCAGCACAGCCCAGCCCAACCCAGCTCAGCTCAGCTCAGCTCAACCCAACCCAGCTCAGCTCAACCCAACCCCGCCCAGCTCAGCTCAGCCCAGTTCAGCTCAGCTCAGCCCAGCCCAGCCCAGCCCAGCCCCACTCAGCCCAGCTCAGCCCAGCTCAGCCCAGCTCAGCTCAGCTCAGCTCACCTCAGCTCAGCTCAGCCCAGCCCAGTTCAGCTCAGCTCAGCCCAGCCCAGTCCAGGTCAGGTCAGCCCAGCCCAGCCCAGCCCAGGTCAGCTCACCTCAGCTCAGCTCAGCCCAGCCCAGTTCAGCTCAGCTCAGCTCAGCCCAGCTCAGCCCAGCTCAGCCCAGCTCAGCCCAGCCCAGCCCAGCCCAGTTCAGCTCAGCTCAGCCCCGCCCAGCTCAGCTCAGCCCAGTTCAGCTCAGCTCAGCCCAGCCCAGCCCAGCCCAGCTCAGCCCAGCCCAGCCCAGCCCAGCCCAGCCCAGCCCAGCCCAGCTCAGCTCAGCTCAGCTCAGCTCAGCCCAGCCCAGCCCAGCTCAGCCCAGCTCAGCTTAGCCCAGCTCAGTTCAGCCGGGCACAACCTGGCTCAGCCCAGCCCATCCCAGCTCAGCACAGCCCAGTTCAGCTCAGCTCAGCTCAGCTCAGCCCAGCCCAGCCCAGCCCAGCCCAGCCCAGCCCAGCCCAGCCCAGCCCAGGTCAGTTAAGCTCAACCCAAATCATCCCAGCTCAGCTCAGCCCAGCTCGGCTCAGCCCAGCCCAACCTAGCTCAGCTCAGCTCAGCCCAGCCCAGCCCAGGTTAGCTCAGCCCCAGCCCAGGTTAGCTCAGCCCCAGCCCAGGTTAGCTCAGCCCTAGTCCAGGTTAGCTCAGCCCAGCTCAGCCCCTGCCCCGGTTAGCTCAGCCCAGCTAAGCTCAACTCAGCTCGGCTCAGCCTAGCTTGGCTCAGCCTGGTTCAGCTCAGCTCAGCCCAGCCCAGCCCAGCCCAGCCCAGCTCAGCCTAGCCTTGCTCAGCTCAGCCTAGCCTTGCTCAGCTCAGCCCAGCCCAGCGCAGCTCAGCCTAGCCTTGCTCAGCTCAGCCCAGCTCAGCCCAGCTCAGCCCAGCCTAGCCCAGCCCAGCCCAGCCTAGCCCAGCCCAGCCCAGCCCAGCAAAGCATAACTCAGCCCAGGTCAGCCCAGCATAGCATAGCTCAGCCCAGCTCAGCACAGCTCAGCCCTGCCCGGCTCAGCCCAGCTTAGTGCAGCCCAGCCCAGCTCAGCTCAGCTAGTGCAACTTAGCCCAGCAACTTAGCTTAGCTCAACCCAGCTCAGCTCAGCCCAGTTCAGCCTTGTTTAGTCTAGGTCAGCTTAGGTCAGTTTTGCCCATCCAAGGCCATTTCTGAAAGCTGGATGGAGTTGTCATGGCTGGAAACGGTCAGCCCACCAGACCTGCTTGTCTCAGCTAAGGCCGTCTCATTGCTAGGTTCTTGCACAGGCCGACTTTCATCTTTTGTCTCCCTCTACTTGATACCCCAGTTTCCTGCAGTCCTGCCCTAGCACCACCTGGGTTTTGGTTCCAAAGCAGTACCAATCATTACCACCCTCCACTACCTGGGTGGAATATTTCTTTGCTGCCTTAAAGTTATTAGAACATCTTCAGAATTAGACCGAGAATTTAGGAGCCTGTACTGTGATAAAAATGAGGAGCTCCCCTTGCTCTAGAATCGGCAGCATAGCTTCTGCACCGAGAGGAGGGTACTGAAATGCTCAAAGCCTCCACCTTCTCGGAGCATCTCCTCCCTTCTGAGTCTGAAATAAACCCCTGCCTTTAAATTCCCTCTAGATAACAGTCATCATTGGAAACAACCAAGAAATGCATTTTATCTGAATTTGCCACTTAAAATTCTGCCATTTACCGCAAATCGCTTTGGAAGGCATGGGCTACTTTCAAGGGCGCGATGACCTAAGTCAATGATTTAGACAAGGGCGATGCCAGTGGGGCTGAAGCATCATGACTCATGCCATCCGCATTCAGAGGTTGCGAAAGAGCTCGGGTGACCTCTCCGTCAAATGGGCTTTAGGGAAAGTTAAATGGGAGTGACCCAGACAATGGTCAGTCAAAAGACTCACACGAATGAGTCTCCTGCTCTTCATCAAGCAAAGACCAATTCCCCTTCTAGTGCAAATAAGACATCAAATACAAAGGTTTAAGAGAAGCGAATGCAGCAGCGGCGGCTGCCTGTCTCTTACCATGTCGGGTGTGTAGTCACTGCGAGCCCTGCAAGGCTTTGGCATGGAATCGTTCCTCCAAGTCCATTAACAAGGGCTGGGTCCTGAGCAGCCAGTTGGCCTGGTGGCAGAAGCCACTCATCCCAGCTCTGGGTAGTCCGGGGAGACCCAAAGCCCAGCCCGGGCCTGGCAGGCAGCCTCCCAGAGCCTCCGCTAGGCCAGCCTGGCTGAAGCCGAATCGGTGATTCCGAACAGAACCCGTCCTTCTAAGGTGTCTCCACAGCGCTGTCTTCAGCACTGTCTGACTGAGTTTTCTCTTAAGCCACAAACTAACATGTTTAACTGAAATAATTCAGGATAACGGTGCATATTTTACCTAAAACTTATCCTAAAGTGAGTAGTTGAAAAGTGGTCTTGAAAAACAACTAAAATGAAGGCCACTCTATCAGAATATCAAAGTGTTTCTCCTTAATCACAGAGAAAACGAGTTAACCAAAAAAGATTGTGAACATAGTTATTATAAAAATAATGCTCTGAGGTATTGAAAACGTGTTTGAGATTAATTATCACATGAAGGGATAACAGACTAATTTTAAAAGTTTTTTGAATGTAGTCATAAACTCTCCCTAAGACTGTTTAATTTCTTAAACATCTTACTGTAAAAATGAATGCAGTTTAGAAGTTGATATCCTGTTTGCACAAACTAGCAGTTGATAAGCTAAGATTGGAAATGAAATTCGGATAGTTAAAAAAAAAAAAGAGCCTTTCCAGTTTCGGTCAGCCTCGCCTTATTTTAGAAACGCAAATCGTCCAGGTGTTGTTTTGCTCAGTAGAGCACTTTCAGATCTGGGCCCAGGCGAAACCACCTCTTCACAACCAGAAGTGATAAATTTACCAATTGTGTTTTTTTGCTTCCTAAAATAGACTCTTGCGGTGACCTGCTTCCTGCCACCTGCTGTGGGTGCCCAAGACCCCCATGCAGCCATCTTGACTCTAACTCATCATCCGCTCCCAGCTTCACTCAATTAATTAAAAAAATAAACTTGATTTATGATGCTCAAAACTCAGTCCTGCATCAGAGCCGACAGCACTGTGCTAGTATTTCTTAGCTAAACTTACTTTGGCCCTAGTTCCAGAGACATACCACTCATGGGTGTTAATCAAATGATAAGAATTTCAAATACTTGGACAGTTAAAAAAATTAATATACTTCAAAATCTTTCACACTTTTAAGTCATAATTGTCTTAACCATTTTTCTCTGGAGCCACTTCAAACATATCCTGTCTTTTAACATTTAATAAGCACGACTCTTAAGATGAACAATCCTTTTCTCTTGGAAACCAACTTCAGGGCACTGAGCTCCTGGGGCCTCCCTAAGCCTCTGTCAGGACAGCAGCCACCCTTTCTGGACTACCCGTGCCCCGACCCTGCTCTCATCAAGACCAAGGCTACACATCCGTCCTGGCTGGATTCACCCACTCTGACAGTTCTCTTTCCAGCCAACAAAGAATTTAAGATGCAGGTTGGCACACAGCGCACCTCATAATTCTAAGGAAAATGTTTCATGATTCGCTGTGTGTGCAGCGATCTTGCAGTCCTAGACACCGCACCTGAGACACGTTCCTCAGCCATCACTAAGACCCCTGGTTTGCTCTGGCATCTCGTCCAAATGTGGCTCCCCAAGCCCCCAGGCTCAGTAACTCCATCAGACACATCCAACCTAAGTCCCATTTTCCAAAGGCATCGGAAAATCCACAGAGGCTCCCAGATCCCCAAGGCACCCCAGTGCCCGTCCCCTCCTGGCCAGTCCGCCCAGGTCCCCTTGGAACATGTCCCGAGGACCAGCCTGAAATGCTCAGAAAACCCCACAGGCAATAGCAGAAAACAAAGGCCCTAGAGTGGCCATTCTTACCTGAGGAGACGGTGACGACGACCCCTTGGCCCCAGGCATCCAAACCGTAGTAATCACAATGGCAGAATGTCCATCCTCACCCCACAAAAACCCTGGGCGCCCGGCTCGCATTGTTCCCAGCCACCCAGAGACCTTCTGTCTCCAGGCGTCACATGGAAGCCGACTGTCCGTGTCCCTGTCCTGCCCTTCTCATGGAACCCTCCGCTGGCCTCCCACATACCCCACATTCTGGCCTGACTCCTCAGAAGCCAGACCGCTGTCGGCCTGGGACATCCAACTGCAAGCAGACGGCTGACAAGTCACCCCCAGGAGTCCAAACACCCCGGCGGGCACCCATCCCAGAGAGCGGGTGCCTTGGAGTGGGACAGAGTCCTACCACACAATCGTCACCACAGCCCCTGAGAATGCTCCAAATGAAGCAGAGAGTGGTCACCTCAGACCAGCTAAAGGAACCCCCCAGCTGCCGACATCTGTGGCTGGACTTGGGGAGGAGACGCTGGGTTCCCATTCGAAGGGACCCTCTCCCTGGCTTTCTTTCTTGACCTCCAAAGTGCCTCCAGGACTCTGACCCTGAGACCCCGGCAAGCCGAGTCTCCCTAAGTGGACTCGGAGAGGGGGTGGTGAGGACTCACCTGAGGAGACGGTGACCAGGACTCCCGGGCCCCAGACATCGAACCAGTTGTCACATTGTGACAACAATGCTAGGACCTCAGGCAAGAACTGGCACCCGCTAAGTCCCTGGGACCCTCTCAGACAGAGCCCGTGGAGGGCCCGGGGGGTTGTTGGGCTAAGGGACCCCAGAGGCCCAGGGTGGCCCTGACCACAGAGAGACCCCTGCTGCTGGGCTCAGGAGGAGGGAGTGTCTGGAGCCCTTGCCCCTTGTCTGTGTGGCCGCTGTCGCCTCAGGGCGTCCTCCTGAGCCCCCCAGGCTGCTCCAGGGCTTTCTTGGCAGGAGACCCAGGCACACTTGTTTTCCCCCAAAAATGCAGCAAAACCCCTCAGAGTTAAAGCAGGAGAGAGGTTGTGAGGACTCACCTGAGGAGACGGTGACCAGGACTCCCTGGCCCCAGTACTCAAAGTAGTCACGTTGTGGGAGGCCCCGTTAAGGGGTGCACAAAAACCCTACTCTCCGACTGTCCTGGGCCAGCTGTGGCAGCCAGCCCCGTGTCCCAAGGTCATTCTGTCCCCAGCACAAGCATGACTCTGCCCACCCTTTGTCCCAGGAGCAGAGTCCCGATTCCCAAAGAAAGGCCTTCTGCTGAACGTGGCCCTGCACAGACCAAGGAGCCACTGGACATTATCTCCCAGCTCCAGGACAGAGGACGCTGGATTCAGAGCAAGGAGGCAGAAAGAAAGCCATCTTACCTGAAGAGATGGTGACCCTGAGCCCTTGGCCCCAGAGATCAAAAGCATCACACAGGGACACAGTCCCTGTTCCTGCCCAGACACAAACCCGTCCCCATGCGGGACACTCGAATGGCTCACATGGCCCAAGCACAGAGCAGAGGCAGCCGGTGTCCCTGTCCCCAGTCACACAGATCACCAGGCTGAGACCCAGGCTGGGAGGGGTGATGTTCCCAGCCCTGGCCCCAGCTCTGCCCACAACTTCTCCTTCCCATCCCTGCCCTCGGCCTGCTTGCCATCTGTGGAGGGTCCCTGATGGGGCTGAAGCCCAGCGGGGTCCCTGACTGTCCTTGGGGGCTCTAGCTGGCCCCAGGGCTAAGTGACAGCAGGGCTCTGGCATGCAGCCCATGGCAGAGATCCCAGGATGGCAGCTGGTGTGGCCTCAGGCCAGACCTAGACCAGCTGCAGACCCCAGAGACCTGGCCTGGTGCCTGGACAGAGAAGACTGGGAGGGGGCTGCAGGGGGACTCACCTGAGGAGATGGTGATTGGGGTGCCAGGGCCCCAGAGATCGAAGTACCAGTAGCACAGCCTCTGCCCTTCTGCTTCTCCCATACAAAAACACACCCTCCGCCCTCCTGCCAGCCTCCTTTGCTGAGCACCTGTCCCCAAGTCTGAGGCCAAAGCCCTTGCCTGGCCCAGTACACCTGGCTCCCCACTATCCCCAGACAGCAGACTCACCTGAGGAGACGGTGACCAGGGCGCCCTGGCCCCAGAACTCGAAGTATTCAGCCACAGTGAGTCAGCCCTGAGCCAGGGGCTGCAGAAACCCACAGCCGGGGTCCCTGGAGGGCATGGTTTTTGCAGAGCTTCCTATCACTGTGTCCCCAGTTAGCACAGTGGTTCCCAGCTCAGCCAAAACCCTGCGGCTGGTAGGGGGCCTGCGGGGCCTGGGGCTGGTCTGGCTGCGGTCCCCAGGGTGTGTCGGGTCCAGGGGCCCCCAGCACCTTTGGCAGTGCTCTCCCTTCCGCTGTTAGCCCCAGAACATGCGGGAGACTCCAGCCCTCAACCCTGCCAGTCCCTCTTGAGTCTCGTGCCAGTCATTTGCTGCCGTTGACAATCATTAGAGTGCTGAAGGCTGCTGATTGTGTTTTTCTTTTTCTTATGTAAATTAGAGCAGATCTGAAGCTGGGTCAGTCACGCCACCTCTCATTGCTTGCTTTCTGAGTTGTTTTCCCAGCTGCAGAGAGACCCGGGTGGCAGTGGCTGGGGGAGCCTCCTGGCCTGCAGGGCCACGGCCCCCCCGAGGGCTCCTCGCTGGCCCGCAGGGGCAGGGAGCCTTTCCTGCTCTGATCCCGTCTGTGGGGCCCGGCGTGGGTTGCCTGGCTGGTTCCACCTATTCACCGATGTTCCACTGAACGGGAGGCCTCAGCGGGTGGCGCTGGGTCTCACTCACCACAGAGCCCTGGCGTGGGCTCCCTGTGTGTCCACTAGTGTTAGGTCCCTTCCCTGCGCCTCAGCTGGTCCTCAATGAGGTCTCAGCTCTTCCCATGGCGGGTGCCAGGGAAAGTGCAAGGTGGTCTACAGGGAGCCCCTCCCCAGGCCCGCACTGGCTGCCTTCCGCCGAGTCTGGGTGAGGGGCTTTGCAGGCACCACTGGCCAGATGCGGGCTGGGTGGGGCCCTCGGGGAGGCCGAGGCCCGTGGCCAGGTGTGAGCATGGGGGTGTGCCCGGCGAGGGCCTCTGCTGGGGTGAACTGATGGGCACAGGGTGTCTGGGGGAGGGGAGTTGCCCCTGCAGGCTTGCTGGGGAGGGTCTATGTCGGGGCAGAGTTCCAGGGAGAGGAATAGGCAAGGCAAAGGCTGGGAGGCTGGGACCTGTCATTGGAGGTCGCAGGTGGTTTGCTGAGGCCGGGTGGAAAGGGGGCCCGAGTGCCTGGAAGGGGCTGAAGGGTGCTGGGGGCTTGCTTAGAGGCTGCTCAAGAAGACTCGCTCAGGCACCGTGCGGGCAGGGATGAGGGGTCTGGGAGGGAAGCCTGGATGTGGGGAGAGGGTTGGGGCTCCTGTAGGGGTGTGGACAGAATGGCGGTGGTTTGTGGGGTTTCCTACAGGGGTCCAGGCAGGACGGGGGACTCTGAGGTACTGTCTGGGGCAGTGGATCTCTCTAGACATGGTTGAACAGTTGCCAGCATGGGGACGGAGTCTTAGGCTGGGAATGGTGAGATAACCCATCTCTAGCCATGAGGGGCTGAGAACCCATTTGATTAGGGGTGGTTGGGCCCTGATGGCCAGGGAGGCACCTGTGAGGGGGCAAGGTCGGGGAGTGAGGAGGAGGGTGGTCTGGCGCTGGGGGAGTGGTTCTCTGGCTTAGGACTTCTGGCCCTGGGGGGCGCAGGCAGGGTCAAGGGTCAAGGGTCAAGGGAGCAGGCTGAGGGTGGGCTGTGCCTCACGCCCCCATGCCTGGGCCTCTGGATCCCTGGGCTGGGGGAGGGAGGGCCTGGCCTTCCCTCTCCTCCTGCACTGGGGTCCTGCTGTCTGAGGAAGCAGTGGGGTTCTGAGCTGCCCTTTGAGACTCACTTGGGCTCACAGTTCGTGGTAGGACTCCTTGAGCCCCCAGACCCTTTCCCAAGGCTCTTCCTCTGATGGTCTCAGCTCTGGGGCCTCCTGCATCCTTTGCAGGGGTGAGGGGTGGGGTTTCCAGGTCCCTCCAGAAGCACTGGCTCCACCCCTTGCCTGCATCCAGCCCTGCCCTGGCCCTGCCTTTTCACACACTTCAGAGGCCCGTTCAGCTCCAGCAGACGCGCAGGCACATGAGGCCCCTGTATATGGTCCCTGTGTGCAGATCTGTGAAGGGGCCAGAGACCCCCATGCCCATAGCTTTGCAGGTGTCTGGGCCCAGCTCCTTCCACAGCATCCTGTGGCTGAGTCCTGGGAGCACACCCTCTGCCCCCACCTGCCACAAGGACACACCAGGGAAAGCACACGAGTGTCACAGACATGGTGGCTGGATTGTGCAATGGGTGGCCAGGGCAGGGCCCACAGGCCAGGTCGAGTTGGCCCCCAGCCTCTGCCCACAGCTGGCATCTCCTGGGGTACCTGTCCCCCCTCAGGGTCACTTAGCCTGGATGACACTTCCTGGCCTGGCTGCCCTGAGCAGGGCTGGGAGCTGAACTGAGAGCTGCAGCCCCAAGGGCAGTGGAGAGGGCACTCTGCTCACATGGCCCATGCACTGTTTAGGATGCAGCCTTTTGATCCTGCTCTGCTCACGTAGCCCATGCATTGTTCAGGACATAGCCTTTCGATCCTGCTGAAGAAAGTCCTTGAGCAGGAGCAGCTCCCCGGCTGTGACAGGGCCCTGGACATCCAAGCCAGAGGGAAAGGCCAGGGGTCAGCAACAAGGGAGGCTCTGGGCCCAGAAGCAGGGGGGCAACACCTACTCTGGGCACTGAGTCTCTGGACTGTGCCATCCTGGAGAAGGAGAAGCCAGAGGCGACCCTTGGCAGGGATGGCAGGCCTCACTGGAGGACAGGGCACTGCAGCAGGTCTCCATGCCTTCCAGGCCTACGGTGCAGCTTGGCGAGCTGGCCAGGCTCCAGGTTGGCGAGGGGCTGGCTCTGGGCTGGCTCTGTGGTGGGCCAGATGGCTGGAACACA